GCACCGCAGAGCGCCAGACCAACACCCAGTGCCAAACACCACAAGTTACCAAAGTTTCTGAGTTGAGACACAAAGAGCCCTAGTCGGTGTGGCCAGGGCATGGCTGGGGCAGAAGGCACTACCAGCAGCAGCACTGCAGTGCAGGGGGAGAGGCTACGCCAAGCTCGGTCAGGAGCAGAGGGAGGACTGGGGGAGGCGCAGAGGTTGTTCTCATTTGAAACCCCACAGTGAAATCAAGTCATAAGGTCCAACAGCCGCTATTTTTTCCCCTCTTGCATGCTCCATCTTTTATATTCCAAAACAGTAATAATTATGAGTACAAAGACACCCATGGTTTCTGTCTGCAATTGAAGCAAGAGGGTGTTCATTGTGTAATAGCAGACATGAGAGAATAAAAAGGTTACAGGGTTTGTAATCAATAGGGACATTTTTTTCCTCTGTGAAGCATAGCAGCTTTTGGCAGAATCCCTTGGCTCCTGTCCAGAACCTTTTGAACGGGAGCAAAGCTGCTACGCTGGCCCCATTCCCCTTTTTTTTTTTTTTTTTTTACACTCCCTCATCCTTCAGCAGTAGTAAGGTCATACGTACAAGTAGGATGCTCACAGAGGCAACTAGATGGCTAAACACAGAGCTGAACTAGACAAAGTATGATCAAAATGCATGAATATATCAGCTAACAACAGCAGACCCAAACTCTTGTCACATGGTCTGTCCTCCATAGATGTCAAAACATTTTATAGTGTATGTAGGGTTACTCTTTCACAACAGAAAGAAGAAAGCAGATGCTGAAAGGTGAAGTGACTGGCCCAAGATTATGCAGCAGGTTAAAGTCAGGGCTGGAACATCTTGCCTGAAACACGCAGTAGCAGGACAGGATTGCTGAACAGCCCCAACACTGTATTCAGCTCTACTGAAAAGAGCAGTTTTGTAGGGAAGAAAAGTGTAAAAGAGAAAACAAGAATACAAGGTCCAGAAAGAAAGAAACAGATAGGTAAAATCAAAGCTCTGGGATTTTATATGTGCTTTTATAGGGACGTAGCTGAAGTTTTTGACTGAAACAAGCTCTAGGATCCAAGGGTGTTCTGTTCATAAGCCAAGGCTGTTCTGTTCACAAGTGCAATACCCATCTATCCATTAGCCATAGACAATGCTACTAGTAAGGTGATGTCTAGTGACCATACATCAGAACTGCTCTCAGCATGGTAGAATTAAGCTACTCACCGGCATTCAGGTGACAGTCTTTAATCTGGAATTGAAGCTCGTTTTCATTTGGAATATCTTTCCATGTTGCAAGGAAGACCTGGCGCTCTAGAAATGAGAAAAGATCATCAGCACTCCTGGATCCTCACAGGATGGCAGCATTAATTAATTCACCGCAGAGTGTTACAAGGTAGGCACACTAAAGAGCTTTTGGTCACATTTTGCCCTGCCATGGATAGATCCAGGATTTGTTCCTGTAACAACCTCAGTCTTACCATAAAAGCAGTAAAGCTTTGATGGATTTTGGAACCCCCAAACCAGAGACAGTCTTTATCATACAAGCTGTTTACAAACCAAGAACAGGCGGGATTTACAAGGAAGGAAGGAGATCCACACATTTAGGATTGTTAGTGAAAGCTGCTTTTCAAGCAACTTCCCAGCCAGTTCAAACAACAATTTAATAAAGGTGACCAGGAATACACGAACTACAGTGAAAGTGGTATGGGGGCAAATCCTAGACCCATTTCTCAAGCAACTTCCCAGCCAGTTCAAACAACAATTTAATAAAGGTGACCAGGAATACACGAATTACAGTGAAAGTGGTATGAGGGCAAATCCTAGACCCATTTGAGTAAATCAAACCATCAAAAAAACCCAACCCAAAACCCAAACCAAACCCCCAAAAAATCAGCCTCAAAGAAAACAGACCCACCCCTTGCGTGGCAGAGAGAATAAGAGCAGAGGACTTGGGTTCTGGTAACTACTGGAGTTGCAGGACAACGGGACATGCTACCAAACCAGATCAGTTCAGGCTGCTGAGATGCACTGGCATGAAGGGCATCGCCAAGCGCATGTGAATCTCAGCCATGGGCAACTGCACCTGGCTGGGTGCCGCCAGCACGGTCTGGCTGAAGGAGGCTGACCACAGACCAAAAAGCACTCACCCATTTTGCCATCCTCTACAAAAAGCACATTGAGAGGAATTAGGCAGCTGAAGTAAAAGACATCGATGTTGTTTTTCACAGCCACCTGTTATAGAAGAAACAGCAGGGTTAAAGCATCTCTATCAGCTGGAAGTCCAAAGGGATCCCAAGATTTCGTGCAGCCTCATCACCTGCCCACAGACATTGGAGTGCTCCATCTGAGCAGAGGCCAGCTCTAAACTTGAGACTACCTGGAGAGATGCTACTGAGCTTCTGAGTAGTTTCAGACTACGAAAGATCAGTCCCACCCCTCCGTGCTCACTCCATTTTCACTAAAAGCTGCTCAGTCTTCTCCTGTGAGCATTTCAGCAGGCTGCTTCAGAGCCAATTGCACTGATGGGGTCACAGACAGCATCCTTGCTCTTTTCTGCTCTTGTTCAGCTTTCCCTCCCCTCACTTCCACCTCTGAGGTACGTTCATACCTCTTGGCTGCACACAGCTACTATCATGTCTGTTATATTGCACATGAGCTTCTTTATCACTCCACTTTGCCACCTCACTCTTGTGATTCCCCAGCTCCAAACCCCTGGGTATTTTTTATTCCCTTCCCCCCCTCCCCCTTTACTTTTCACTTCCTTGATTAGTCCTGTCCCAGCCTGGACACCTTCTAGAAAGCCTAAAGAGGGTCGATTGCCTGCACTTTCCTTGCAGCATCTCCCAAGTCTCCTGCCTTTACCCCAGTGAAAGCTATATAGCGAACACGTGCTGGGTGTTGATTTCTGGAAGAAAGCTCTGCACAGAGCAATCAGGGCAGGTAAAAAAAGATCACTTGACAAAAGACTTAATTCTCAGTGTCATCAAACTCTGCCAGCCAGGGAGATGCACTGGATTGCCTTTTATCACACATGCTTGCCACATTACTGATTAATCTTTGCTAAGACACAAAGCAACCTCACTTTCAGTTTTCCCCAGGCTGAGAGCTGACGGTACAGCAGGAGCAAAACTGGAGGTCTGAGAAAGTGCACTGTCATAATAGAGCACAGAAAAATGTAGCTCTGAGCTTTATTTCTATGCCTCTCACACTCTCCTCACATCATCCCGCATAGCGATAACCTGTCATGGGAGTACAGTTGAGCAGACACCTGCCATTGCTTGCAACGAAGGAAACCTGGCCTGTAAGAGACCTAGAATTGAGGTTGTGTGGGGAGCCCTGAATTTCAAGAGCTGTTTGAGCTCCTATTTCCTTTGAAAAACCCCAGAAGGAGTTCTCCAATTTGTCACCAAGCTGAAACACAAACCAGACCATGCTAAATGCTGAGCCAAAGAGACAAATTTACTGCTATGAAGATTCTGCCAAGACAAACTCCATTCACATTAATAATTACACATATTAGTGTCCTGCTGAGAAAAAGCTATTGTCCCATAGTGGCAGGTTTAGAAAGACATCCCCAAATGGTGGTAAAAACAGCTGTGGATGGACATGGGAGGGGAATAAACCAGAGAATTCAAACACAAGTCAGATGATTAGACATGTGTACAATCCAGAGGAAAAGTGGTAGGAGATCAAGCTCCCGAATGAACTCTTCTAGCATTTGGGAAAGTCCCAGAAGTGCAAAGAAGAGCAGAAAGGTAGATGTGACAGTCTGTGGGGTTTCTGCTTTCAGCCGTCACTAAAGGTAGCAGCTTCTATTTAATTCCCACAGTGCAAACCAGCTTAAGAAGCGATTAGTTTAAAGCCCACCAAAACCATGTAAATGATGGTGCAACCTAGAAGAAAAAATGGAAATGGTCCTCTGTAGTAGGGAGCTGTTAACATGCTTCGATTGCTGGGGTCATACTTGCGAGTTTGAGTGTCTAGTGTTTGAGGTAGAGGCACCCAAGCCAGAGGGGTAAAAGCAGATTGGTGGATGGACATAAGCGATTCACCTCTGCAAAATGTGATTGAACAGATCGGGTCACTAGCCAAAAACACACCTCTGAGTGTGGGAGGGTGGAGCTGGGGAAGGGACAGCAGTGTAGCCATTCGAGATGCTATGCTTGGATACAACTCATGGAGATGAGCCTTAAGATGGAAAATTTAGGCTAAATGTCTGGGAAAACTCAATAGTGCGAATTATTAAGTTGCACAAAATTCTTCTGAGGAAGAGAGAAGCTCCAGTGCTTGGAGTATTTAAAAATCAGCTTTCACAATGCTCTCAGTGAGAGGAACTGTAGAAAAACAACAAAGCATAGCAGGGACTACGCTGCGTGACCTAAGATCTTTTCTAGCTCTGATTTAATGATTAATTGCCTTGCCTTAGAACAACAGAGATTACTTAGCTTTTGTAGCTAATTGTTGTTGCTATACAACAGTAGTTTCTTACAAGAGGAGCTGGAAAGCAGTGCCTTCTCTCCAGTCACGGTTCTAGAGGCACACTCCAAATTAATATGCTAACCCTGTCCCTGCAGTTATAAGAATGCTATAAAAAGGTATCTGCTGACCTGCTTCTCAACTCTGCAGAAACATACTGAGTAAGCTGCTTTGGCTATACTCTGGAGAGATACCCAATTAAGACGCTCGGAAGTGCAATTTCTTCCCAGCAAAGAAAAGCAAGTCACACGCCAGCCTTCCTCCCAAACTGCATCATTGGGCTCAGTCATGACATCACGTGTCACCTTGCAAGTATCTGTAATGATGCAGAAACCAGCTGTTACAAATAACTTTTGCAACCAGGAAAGGAAAAAGCTACAGTCTCCTTAAACCTATAGCACTAGGACAAGACTGGTAAACTTTTCAAGACAAGCTTCCATCATTCAACACCACATATTTCTCCCAAAGAGCCAGGCACGCACTGTTAGCACTGTGCTCCCCAAGATCTGGTCCATGAAAAGGCACCTGCAGATACCTGGACTTTGAAACTTGCACCAAGAAGAGGCTAAGAGGCCCTACCAGCTGATAACAGCTTTCCAAGTTCATGCTCCAACCTTCGCACTGCCACATCAGAAGCACTCAATGCCATCTGACAGGCTACAAAAGCAACCTCAGGCAGAAAGCAGATCCACAGCAGCGCCTGTGAGAAACTGAGTAGCTAATAACAGCGACTTGCCAAAAAAATCCAGTGCTCAACAGGCAGGAACATCAGCCTGAGACAATCAACAACATTTAAAGTGACACCAGTAGCTGAGAAGTCTCTCCAGGTTTGACAGGCTCGAAAGAAACCTCCACTTGCATTCAGTAAGTCCTCCAGTCCAGACTCACTTTGTCTGTGGCTCTGCAGCTTTAACCTGGCGACCTGGACAGGAATTATTAAATCTTTAACTAGATCTGCAGCTTCAGACATTTGAGAGTTAAAACGGAACCGCTTTAAATAAAAATGGCTTTCCATCTGTGATCTTTTCAAAAGGAGGGGAAAAAAAATAATTACTACCTCGTGAATTTATCCTCCAGTCCAGACTCACTTTGTCTGTGGCTCTGCAGCTTTAACCTGGCGACCTGGACAGGAATTATTAAATCTTTAACTAGATCTGCAGCTTCAGACATTTGAGAGTTAAAAAATGGCTTTCCATCTGTGATCTTTTTGAAAGGAGGGGAAAAAAATTACTACCTTGTGAATTTAGTCAAGCAGACTACAAAGTTTCTGAGGGATAAAAGTCAAAAGGTGCCAGATTTTCATAGGACGCTTCACTGCCCACTAAAAATTGGCACAGGGTTCCCAAACACTTACATCTTGTTCATGATCTGACTAGAGGAAGCAGCACTTCTAGAAATAAACCCTGGAACATATTTGCTCACCTTGCAGCACGAGCACCCTTCTGTTGTCCTTTCTTGCAGCGCAACCCTCCGATAGCCAAGACATGGGATTTTGGGGAAGAGGTACCTCATAAGAACAATGCTAAGTTATTTTCTTCAATAGTGTAGGTTTCTGATGCTTTAAATCCCAGACTTGAGCATAAGAATTGACTTTCAAAGTCAAGTCTGAAAGCAACACAGATGCTTTCCATCACCAGCAAGTACACAACATACCCGTTTGGAATCCCATTAGCACCTACACTAAATTAAGGATTTACTTCAAGTTGGGTTTTGCTTTAGAGCCTGGTAACAGCCAAACTGTTAAGGCGAGAACAACTCTCCTCTGCAGAGCCTTTTTTACCTCTGCCAGCACAAGGTCATGGTTTATTCTGTGACAGTCTGCTGCTCTGGCTGTCAGATGCCCCCAGGGAGTGCTAGCTACTTCACTTAATTTTGTTTGACAGGTAGGGCTCTCTGGATCCTACTGGTGCTTGACAGCCGGATGCTTTACCTACAGGCACAAGTCTGGAGCCTGGGCAGCGGAGCTGTGCACAGACAGCAAGGCTGGGTGCTGCGGCCGTCGGCTCCGGGCACGCTGCTTTACGTCAATGGTCAGAGAACAGCCAGTTACTGGGAGGGTTACGCTCTCATGTGTGTGTCTGGCTGTACTTGAAGTTCAAAATGTACATTTTTTATCAAATGTGCCGTACCATGTGGCAGACCTGCCCTTAATCGGCAAGCCAACAGCTTTCTGCAGCTGAGCTAGGAACTGGCCGCAGACACCAAGCTCTGATCTGAGTCCTTAATTCAGGAAGCTCCCAGGAGGGTTCTCTGCTGGAATAAGACTCTCACTAGTACAGACTTAAAAAATAACCTAGGCAACAAACCCAAGAAAGCACCTTCCACATCTCGCTACCCAAAGCTGTTCTGTGGTGGTTGGTCCAGTAATTTTGACACAGCTCACACACAGGCAGATACTGCACCATTTATCAAGCAGGCTCTGAAGGGAGAATATCTGCTGGCTGGCCTTGCTGCTCACACCAATTTTCAGCCTTGTTTTTATGGAGAGTTGAATGCACGAAATGTTTCCAAGTACCAAGAGCTCTGTATTTGTGACCTGAGACATATTAACATTTCTGATGAATGAGAGTTCCAGTGGTTCTGCATTGCGAGACATCGAAGAGTGGAGGAGCATAAGTTTGAGTTACAGCAGAACTGAGCGCGGAAGGATAAGTATGATCTAGTGCATTAGCAAGACTGATCTTTTCTCAATGAAGAAGCTGTACCTTCATCTGCCTTCACAGAAATGTTTTGCCAAACTCATTGGAAGAAACAAAAATGTTCTGCACCTCACTGCTCAGCAGTAAGGGAGAGGTCTGTGTTTCCAAGTGTCACTTTTCAGGAAGAAATGCAGCTGGCAGATCCTTCCCGTTCAATACTCGCCAGATCATTTTACAGGCATTTTGGAAAACTGAAGCTATGCTTCTTTCAGTCGCATGCTCAGTAGCTGCAAAGAGCCCTGGCAGTTGACAGTAGGTAATGCTGGGGAATGCAATACACTGATTGTCAATTTTGAATGTGGATCCCAAGGGAACGGCAATGCTTCAGGCTGAGGTAGACTCGTCACTGCTCCGGGAGTCCCTGCAGCTTGTTTTCAATTGTGTCGTCTCCTGCAAGTGGTTACCATCTCACAGAAGAGATTATCGTATTAGTGTCATGACAGGCCAGGCCTGAGCTTCGAAACTCTTGCAGCAGGCTGGCTCCACTTCACCCATTTCCAGGGTTACAGGAGCAATTCTCGTGTACCTAAATGAACAAATCATGTATTCTGATTTCACAGCATTTCACAGCCCTTGAAAGGCCATTTATTAGGAACAGTGGTTCTCTTTAGCATAGAAAGGCTCTCATCCCAGGCATTTTCTTATTCCAAATTTGAGCTGAGGTATTTGGAAAGAGTTAATATTCTTCACCAATGCAAATCCCTATTTCAGAACCCATTCTCCTCTGAGAGCTCAAGGTCTCACACATGTGGTGGCAAAGATAAAACACCCATCCCCTCTCTTCCATTAGGCACTACCCTAACAGCCTACATGTCATCAAAGGGGTATCACTGCTTTGACTGTGAAAAGGCAACTACAGAACCCAAGCAGGCCTGTACAACGACTAGAGCCGTCTCCATGGATGGCAAACGAGACACGGCTATCAAATACTCACGAAGCTCAACGCAGCATCTTGCACACCTTTGGGCAAGAGCTTGTTACCGCTTGCAAGTGCCGTGCTCTGCAGAGGCAGCTCTGGGAAAGGGGGACCACAGCACCCACAAGTGCCAGGTAGCCTCCAAAATGCTGACAAGGTGCTGCAAAAGCATCCTCCAGCAGAAGTTAGCAGCGCACAAATAACGAAGATTTTCTTTAGCAACAGGCACACTCCAAAGGCATCTGACAGCAGCTTTTTAATCTGTAAGACGTAAAAAAGATGAACCAGAGAGCAGGGATTGGAGTCTGTTCAGCCCTACAGTGCTGTGTCCAGTCTAGCTTTGGCTTTATCCTTTGAATAAATCACTGCTTGACTGAGGGTTGAATCTGAGTCAACAGGTCAAGAAAATTATCATCACTACTTTGGGATGGGAGGGAGAAGCCTCGTATTGGTTATTATGAGATGCAAGGTGACTGGCAAACAGAAGATTCTTCAGTTCTATTTTACCTAAGTATGCCTCTGAAAATATTTCAGTCTTCTTCATCTTCTTGTAAAAATGGCTTTTTTGTTAACTTGTCAAATATTTTAGTTTCTTTTCATGATTACAAATGTTAATCTTAAACCAGCTGTATTGGGTGAAAGATTAGAAACGGTAATAAAAATAACCTGAACAAGAGATGAATTCGTTACTTCTGAAATAGTTGCCTAAGGAATGTACAACCAGTCTTTGAAGTTTCTAATTAACATGACAAAAAAGTTGAAAGCTATCAGTTTGGTTACTTCAGGACTTATTCTTGTCACTAAAACAAAAAACCTCCACCAGAATAGGAGATGAACATAAGGTCCTCAGGTTCAAACCAGTCATGCATCTACTTCAATGTTCCCCAGCTCAGAAAAACCGCATTAAGCAAATTCAACTTGATGAGTGTTTTGGTTCTTCAATGAATACAGGAACAATTGTATTCTCTACTCCTATATTATGCTATAAATTGTTTCCTAAGTAGGTCACCAAAACGATTTCTGAATGTTTCAAATCAGATTTCTACATGACCTCACAAAACAAAACCAGAGCCTTGGCTGTCAGGACAATGACAGATCTCCATCAAACCCACTGCTGTCAAAAAAGTAAGGGGAGTGCTCTTTTTAACTTGGCATCTGCTATCATGATTCAACTCTTTGCAGAGAAATATACTATTACTCCATATGGCAGCTTCCCCGATTGTAAAAGGGCAGCCAACTTCTATGGCAATGAGAGAGCTAGAAAATTAGTAACTAAGTCTGGCACTAATGAACGCTCCGCTGTCTCAATGTAAGGTAGCTGGAGGTTTCCTTGCATGTCTTCTCTTTGCTTTGTTGTAGCAGAAGATGCTACAAGAAACAAACTCTGTTCTGATACCTTTAGAGATTTAATAAGCCAAATACTTCACTTCCTTCCTGATCAAAGGAAGGAGCAACATGAGAACGCATCACCGAGTCGCCTCCTAACACCACGTCCCCAGTGTTACGAAGGCAGATCAGGACCATCACCTCCTAGAGACTTTCAGATTTCCTTCAGAGCAGGAGGCAGATTTTACCAGAGCTGACCCAGATGCAGTGATGCAACCTCATCCTCATGACCTGGACGCAGAGGGAATCCAGCTTTTCCACAAGCTGGAAGGGCCCTCTGTGGAAGACAAGCACATGTAATTCATTCACGGTCCGCATGCTCCCCCATCGCATGACTGAGCTCAGAGCCGGAGTGTAGGACTGCTCGTTTGAGTGCCAGCGATGCTATTTCGAGCTGTTTGCCCAAAGACTCATCAATAAGTCATAAGCCCCAGAATGGAAGTCAAAAGAAGGGAAAAAACAGTTGCTCAGGCAGAATAAATAGTAACTTCCATTGCATTCTCTTAATCTAAAAAGAGAATGAGCTGCTTCAAAATATTCCCCTCTATGGGCTGCTACGCTACAGGAACCCAACCTAGTTCTGTCTCCTGGAGACTTGAGGCGAGTGAGACACGCTACAGTGCAAGTTAACCACATCTCTGGGATACTGGGAAAAATCATCCTGGAGGACCCAGCTACACAGAGCAGAGGCAGGAGTCACTCGCACATGGCAGCGGTGAGGACGAGCCTACTTCCATGGAGATCTGCCTGCCTGATGAGTACTTCAGGACCAATGCCCCTGAGGCATGCCAGGACTGATGGAGACAGCCTCTGGTCCAAACCAGAGGGGAACATCTCCCTGGATCTGTCATGCCTTTATCAGATTGGCTGCCCAACCTGATAAAAAGCCTCTCCTGGGGAATGCTGTTCCCGATATGCACCAACAGCCTCGTTAATGAAGCATTAGCTGCTCACGTCATTTCTCCTCTGCCTTTCCTGGAACACATCTTGTTTGCCTTGGATTAAGCTACCTGGGGCAGGGATGTGCCAATGCTTTTATAAAGCACCCTGGAAGTTAAGAGCACTAGAGACATATTAATCACTCAGGAGTTGTCATCTTTCTTGCAATTCCTTTAATTGCCTCAATTCTTGCTGACAGTTCTTGCCGCCTGCTCCACCACAGGCATGCACTTTTTCTGTTCAGACCAGCTCCAGTGTGTAAGCCCAACCAAACCTCACGTCCAGTTTACAAAAGAGTGTTACTGGAGCAGACAAAGACCTTAATCTACACAGATGCAAGCAGTGGGTTTGAGGTGTTTGAAAAGTCACAAAACTCAAGAAGTGTCTGCTTCAGTCCTCCTGGGAGAGACTAGAAAAAGGAATAGGAAGAAGTTTTCGTGAGACTCATGGTCCATATCCATGAGGTCTGCCTGGTTACCGTATACACAATGGCATTTTGTTATTAGAGTCTTACCGCATTGTGTTGGGCCAAACAAACTGGGCTGAGCACCTGCTGATCTCCCCCCTGCCCAGAATGAGACAATCCTTACCTGGAGGTTGTTCAGAGGCTCCATTTTCATGACTGGTCCCAGAGTGTTGAGGGGCAGGGAGACATCAATACTTTGGTTTGGCATCAGAGGTGTGTGAATGGCCAACGGGGTGCTTGGGATAACACCAAAGCTGGGCAAGAGAAAAACAGAGGTGATGAGAGCAGCACTGCATTGCCCAACACCTATTCCCCTTTGCCAAGCCCAAGTTGACTTATCTTCCCATTACTCCTGAGTTGCCCATCCTGTTAGTCCAGAGGAGGAACACAGTTCAAAAGAGCAGACAGTCAAAGTAGGATAGGGCATGGGAAACTCAGTCAGGTTGGTCTTGCTGACAACACGCACTATCCTGCCCAGGGGACCAGCATCTGTGAACTCTTCCATTACTCACACAGCACTCGTCTACGTGCTGAGCAGCAGCCTGCCCATCAAAGAGCAACACCTGGGCTCAGACGTGTAGGCTTCTTGGCACTCTCTTACAGAGCTGCAGAGCACAGCTAGTAGAATATATCATGCACTGCATGGCTGTTATATCGTTGGGAGCTATGGAAGAAGGAACTGGAGCCAACACAGAACAAATAGAATAGCCAAGGAGGAGTACATGGTTCGTAACAGAGCACTGTAGAACAAATGAATCAACACAGCCAGCTGTCCGGTCCCAAATGACAGCGTCTGGTTCTGTTGCTTGGTTTGAGGCTCCTTCAGCTGGGGACGTATACCACCATAGCAAAGTGAATGTTTACTTGCCTCTTCAGTCCCAGAGGCATTTAATTCCACAGGCACCTCTACTTAGTGTGGAGAAGAGGAAAAGCAGCTAACATTTAACATAACGCTTCTGTACTATCTAGCAGCTTCTTTTCAAAAGCAGATGGAAGCGCAGATGCGTTAGATAGTTTTGGTGTCCACTTGTGACCACATTTTTCAAAAGCAGATGGAAGCGCAGATGCATAAGATAGTTTTGGTGTCCACTTGTGACCACGTTTTTCTTTAGCAGAATTCATATTAGCTCAGAGGTGATAGAGTATTTACAGGGACAAAGATGTATAGGTGTGTATTTTTATTTTATGCACTGAAAAGCTGATACTGTCTATGCAAAATAAGCCATATGTGTATTGGGTATGTCACCCTTTCAGAAACAGCAGATGCCATGCCCCATTCTTTGTTCTCCTCGGTTTTTGGCTCTAAGGAGCTGAAATAAGAATATTCTTAGCAAGGGTCTAGCCTTCTGCAGCCATTTCACCTTGGGGGACGTAAGCCCTAGTGTTTTCCATAAGACTCAGGGAAAACAAAGTTGCATTTTGCTGTGATATTACAGCCCACTAGAGCTCTAGCTTGCCTGTTTGTTGTGGGGTTTTTTGTTTGTTTGTTTTTTGTTTGTTTTTTTTTTTTTTTTTTTTTTAAACGCTTTATCCCAAGACTGCAGAGAATGTGATTAGTAGCAACACGTGGAAAAGCAATAGAAACTTCCCAATCACAAACCTTAATATTTAAACCTAAAGAGCCAGCCCACTGCAGCTTTTTCTAGTGCACCAGCCACAGTGGAAAGCAGTGAGAGAAGAGTAAATAGCAGTAGATTGTATATGGAGCATGTGCTGATATGCTGCAAAAGGAGAAACTGCTGTTTTACTGTACAGTATTTAAACTTCTTACATCCTTGAGAAGTATCATGTAGGTGTGGTTAGAACATAGGCTGATGTATGGGGAAAAAAAAAAAATCACAAGCAAACTGGCTTTTTTTCACCCCAATTTGCATGAAACATTTGCCTATAGCAGCTTAGTAAAACTCCCCAGAAAATATAGCAGTCCAGGGAGAACATTTACTAAGACTTACTAAGCATAATGTCTTTTGTAAGTAAATATTATTCGTCCCAAGAAATCTCAAATTTGCAAGGCTAACAGTAATATTAAAGAGATGGTTTCAGTGGATCTTTAGTATAGAGAACATTTTTCCAGTGAAGGGATATTAAGAAAGATGGGGAACACTTCAGTCACAAGATATTCTTTATAGTGGTGATAAGAACTAGCCTGGTCTTTGCTCAACATATAGCAAACCACATGATAAGCGCTCTGACTGGGAAGGGTATTTGCGGGAAAACACCGTGGCTGTACTGCCATGTCATGTCTTTTGGCTGAGATGGGTTTCTGAGAACAATCTGTATGCTCTGAACATTCAAGTGGCTGCTCCTTCTGACAAAATTGTTCTGCTGCCAATTACAGGGAAAACATGTGCCATAGGCTCTTAACTTGCAACTTGTTCATTGACAAATAGCTTTATTAATGAGACCTGCACTTCCAGACAGTCTGAGGGGCAGCACGGCAATTAAGTCAGGAGGTAGAGCCATTATGGATTGATACTTGTGCAGCTCAAATGCTTTCCTGTTTATGCTCTCACTCTCCTTGGGGCACTTACTGGCTATAAAACCACTAACCTGCCTAACAACTCATGAGGCTGCTTTAAAACTCTGCAGAGATTAAATGGGGTAGATGCTGTTTCAGAACTAGGAGAATGACGGGACCGTCTGCTGCCCGTTTCTGCACAGATTTATCAGTCTGTATTTTCGGCCCTTTCACACAACTGTGGTGTGATGGAGAGTTCAGGCTGTATCATCCAGCTGTTTCCATGACTGCATTATATACCTATATAAAAGTCCTCTCTACATCTAGCAGTGTAGACACAGACTCCTTTCATAGGAGCATGCAATCTTTTTAACATAGTGGACAAAATGTATTGATTTCTTACCTGTTCTTATTGAACTGAATGGCAAAGTCGGTCATGTGCTGCAAAGCCTTATTGGTAAAGTTCATCTCCATGTAGATGTGTCCCTGCCTGTGACTGAACGTTCCCGAGATCTCCAATCCTTTAGCCTTCACTGCAGGCAACCAAACCTTGAACACAAGAGATGTCATTCAGCATGAGAAACTTGGCCTGAAGATAACAAACAAGTACAGTTTTCCAAACAACAGAGAAGTCCTGAGTTCGGAAATCCAGGAACATTGGCACATTAAGCCCACAAACGCTAAAGAAACACTACAGGGAAGATAGGACATGGGGTGTTGAAAGGATGAAGCTCACCAATGAGAAATAAGCTTGCTGCTCCTAATTCATATTTGTTCACAGCACTCACATAAGAATTCAAATACACTATAACATTAGTGTGCACAAGAAACAGTGAAAGCTTGTGTCCATCACACTAATGTGAGACTTACCAAGTCTGCTGAGGGACAGGCTTCTCCAAGGACTTGTTGGGCTATTAGAGGCAGGACAATACTAAAGTTTGAACCAAATAAAATCACAGGGCCGATGCTATTCACTGTTTGGGTTCTGGATTCCCAAATCACCTTTGTGGGAAAAACCCAGAACCAAATTTGAGTGGTGCAAAATGAAGTACTACTTAGTTCAAAATTACTGGGTTCTTTTGTACTTGGTCTTATATCTGGTGTAATGCTTGCAAGCAGCTAAGGACCAAAAGCTTCGAGTATGCTCTGTATGCAGTACCTTGGAATCACCATAGGATGACTTAAGTTTATTCATCCATTGACTGTTTAATAAAAGCGCTACTTTTTGTTTATTCCCTTTCAGGCATGAAAGGCTAACCCTGAGCTCCCTGTGGCCGCTCCACAGCCTGTTACCGGAACCACGTTCTGTATCACACGAACCCTCCAGACTAAGCATGCTTTAGTCAGTGCATCTGCGATCTCTGTCACTAACAGAGCACTTATCCGCATTACGCTGCGGCATGCTCGTCCCAGTCACATGATTTTATCTTCACTGTCACGTTGGGTTCCTCCAAATAAACGAATCTTCTACGAAAGTTGTAGCAAATTGTATTCTGCCCTCAGTTTCCTGGGGATATTTGCTAAAAAGTAGGTCTCCAGGAAAGCTGCTCTGACAAAATTAAAATTCTCAGTATCTTATGTAAGCCATTCTTTAGAGTAATATTGTCACAGGCAAAATGAGGGAACTGGTAAAAAAACAGCAGTCTGTAACTAACAACTAACGTGGTCCCCAACACAGTTATTCCGCCTGGGAAAAACCCAGGGCATCCCTAATGGGACTGAGTTGAACTAAGCTGCCCTGATAGCACCAGAGACCCACAATAAAGGGGACAAGTGAGCAGTCTCAGACTTCTTGTAGCCTAAGGTAAGGCAACATACTGAGAATGATTCTTTTTCCTTACGTACAGACTTCGGAGCCACGTATCCTCCAGGAGCCATGCCTATACCAGATGAGAGTTCAAAGAGATCGTTGAGTCCACTGCTCACCACCGCTGGGGTGGGTGAAGGGGCAAAGGTGGCTGGCACAGAGGAGGGAATGTAGGTCTGCCCCACCTGGAGGAGTCAGAAAGAATAGGCATTGATTAACATCACACAGGAAGAACACCACTTATTAAATATGGCATGAACTCGGGCAATATCCTAAATATTTTAAAGCTGTTTGCAGCTTCCCTGCTGAATTATCAATAGTGCTAAATAATGCATTTGAATTCCAAAGCTCTTGGCAACTAATCGCTACACTCAGCTGTCACCTCAACCATACAATAGCTTTCACATCATTTTTTATAGCTCTATAGTTATCTATTCCCACCATAGAGGAATTTTTCTTCTCCACCTCTCCTTCTCATAAAGACAATATGCAATCTACCCTAGATAAACCCAGGGAAAAGAAAAAAATGCTTCAAATCTTCCAACTACGACAGTCTTCAGGAATCTGCAAGATTTTGCATATCCAGAGATAGCAAGGGAGTCATGACCGTATTGCGTACTCCCACCCAAAGCCAGAGCTCTGCATTCTCAGCACTGTGGTCCAAAAGGTTCATTACATGAAGCAAAACTAGTTGTCTCTGTCTGCCAGGGGAAAACCTTTCTGCAAAAAGGGCAATCCTTCCCTCTCAGGACTTAAATGAGGGCACCAAACCGAGAATATTAACCCTTATGTGCCCAGTTCCAGGTGGGACAGTCACACTCAAGTTGGACTCCCAAGTTCGCTTCCTTACCATAAGCAGGAAGAATTACGTGCTTGAGAATAGGATTCACCAGTCAGCAGCCCAGAAACAGGCAGAATGACTAAGGCAGGCAATAGGAATTACTGACGACAGGTCTGGGTGTGAAGTCTCACTGCTGTTCTGTGTTCAGGAACCTACCTGAGATGTGGTGTTTCAGTCAACCCTTTGGACAGGGAGGACTGGTGGGTTCATGCTGGCCCAGGAAGGCAGAGACCTGGCTTTGTAGGTATGATCTCTACAGAGTAAGTATCTCTCACGTCCTGGTGTGTACTACCTGGGGGCTACAGGTATGTTGTACCACCAGCTCTCCCCTGCCCTCATGCTGAAGCTAGAAAGGAATGCAAGATTCACAGGGAAAGAAGGAGAGAGAATGACTGCAGCCATAACAAGGGTCTCTGAAAAGCCCTCACTCCAGAACTGAATATGCTTTCTTTGCTGACCTACTGGCTACACAGTCCTGGAAAGAGGGACTAGAGCTTTCTCCAGGAGACTGCTTTTGGCTGTGGGTTGGAGGCACACTCCCTCCTGCCCACTGCGTCTCCAAGTCATCTTGCATCCTTTCCCCATGCTCTCCTGGAAGAAGCTGGTATGCATTTGAATACAAGGGTGCTTTGGAAGCAGCCTGTGAAAGACTCCCATGTCCTGGCAAGTGCTCTAGGCACTAGGACACTCACAAAGTACAGGCACAGAAAAGGAGGCCGGTGGCAAGTGGAGTTCAGCACTGACCACACGTAGTAGGAAAGCTCAGAGCACCTGTTCCTGGTGTCCAGGAAAAGTGTTATGTGGCATTTGGGAGGAGAAAAGCACTGAGTTCAGACAAGCCCGCGGTGACACTGCGTTAGGGTTACAACAGAACAGGCTTTGTGAGTAGAGGGGTAGCATCCTTGGTCTTTCAGCTGCCAAAGCAGTTGCACAAGGACTGGAGTACTGCCAGTGTTAACGCTGGTGCTCAAACTAAAAGCTCTGAGAAAGAAGAGTTAAGCAGATAGAGTCAACAGCACTGATCCCTGGCTGTTCTTAGGAAAGCCCAGGTGACAGCTGGACTCAAAGCAACATAGGTGGGGACCTGTATGTTTCAGTTCCATTTGTCCATTTTCAAACACAGTCAGGGATTTAAAGCATCTTCCAGCACATAATGGGTGAGGTTATATTTAAAAACCCTGAGCTTTGACCAGCTTTTTAAATTGGGGAAAAAAATGGAATGGCACTTACTGCCGGGCTTCCTCCAATGCCCCCGCCAAGGTCACTGCCAAGCTGAAAGAGAGAAGGAGAGAGAGGAGAGAAAGACCGAGTTCATTTAAGCCAAGTGTCAGATGGCCGGAGCGGAGCTCAGTTTGACCGCACTGCTGCGAGCACGTCTCACTCGCTTGCCGTGTACAGGACAGACAGAAACGCAATGATGGGAAAGCACAGGGAACAGAGGGGCTTTTTTGCTGTTGTGTGAGCAGTGACATTTGGAGAACTACCCCACGCATCTACTGTGGACGGGAGCGTTTTGCAGGTTAATAAAAACAAAAAAGCTCATTCCCTCTTGTGCTGTCATCTGCACCAAAAACTGTGCAATTCTTCATGTTTCATGAATCAGTGCTTTCCCTTCAACCCATGGCGCTGGCTGCCAGCAGTCCTGAGCAGCTCCACAAAACCCAGTGGGGTAACTGTGAAATGGAATAAAAATAAAACTGACAGGAAGCTCACTTCCCAAAAGCTTTAATTTTCTAGGGAACAGCTACGAACTACGGGAAAACACAATGCATCTTGGCTATGTTCCTCTGATGTGCGGCTCTGTGCTGGCTATTATGACAGTTCAGACAGGTGGGCTTTGTCTTCCCTTTGAAGATGCTCCCCTCCCTTAGGAAAAAAACAGTTTCATGATCTAATGGGCCACTCAAATAGCAAAGAGATGCTAAGGTGCATTAGGATATTTCAGTAACGATCTCTGCCAAGCTACACAGCTACAGTTTGAAGCAACTGAAATAGCCCCTGCGTACCACCCGCGCAACCCCCCATAAACAGCAAATGCTCTCTGGAGCCCTTCTGCCAAACCATCCTGCAGCCCACCTAGAAGCTGTCCTACCATGAACTCTTTTTACAAAGCATCCAGACCACTTTCTCAGCAATAAAGCCCATTTTTTTAAACATCCACACCATTCTACATGCTCGAGATAATTCAGTGATCAGGACAGACTCCAAAGCTGGCTACAAGTGCTGTTTGCGAGTACCGCATCATTCACGTGAATATTTATAAAGCACTCAACAGATGACTGATAGCCAGGAGGAAACAAGCACAGATCTGCAGTGGTTATTCACTACAGAGACATCTCCAGGCATCATCCACATCTTAAGGCTTTTGTTCAGAAGACCATGGTAGTTTTTTTGCTCAGTGCAGGGCTTTTTTGGTCACATTCAGACAAGGATCATGCCCCAACAATGTGCACATAGGGTGAAGCAAGTGCAGGGGCGAGGTAGGAAAAAGCACCATGGGGAAAAGGCTGGACTGGCAGACTAGAACAACACAGCTCACCTTGTAGATGGCTTTGCTCTTCCATTTGATTTGGGTTTGGGGAGTTTGTTTGCTTTAAAAAAAGCATTTGACAAACTGGGTCAACACAGGTTCTAGGTACGTTGTTCACATATACACTGATGTGTTAAGATAATGAACAAATGCACCGTATAGCTAAAGCAGAAGCTTCCAGGGGGGCCTGTGCTTAGAGTCAAAAAGGCTCCAACCTTTTCCCTCTGCACAAAAGACTTGGAAATTCAATGTTGTTCTGGTCCCCGCTAGCCTGTTCCCTGGGAGATGTCATGGCAAATATATTTTACACCGGTCAAGAGATACCATAAAGTTTCATACTTCTCTCCCTCAGCACAGACAAAAAAGGATAAAATGCCTTGAGAACAGCAGCAAAGTTGTAAGACAGTGACTTACTAGATGATAACTAGCCTCCAAAAAAACCTGTAAAACTTGACAAATCCCCATGCTATTCTGGATCCCCCTTCTATCTCCTGGCCTCTCTCTTTCCCCTCGTCCCCACAGGAGCCACCTGATGCAATATTAGCTATCGTAAGTGGGTTTTAGAGAAGTACAAATCACACACAATTTGCCTTTTTTAAGAAACATTAAGAGTTTTTTTCCTGTGTGAGACTCAGTTTATCCCTACTTGAGGTCATGACAGAAATTGATAGGGCATCCCTCATCATCTGCAACTGCCACCTCTCCGTACAGCAACCCTTTCTCTCGCTACCCATGGCAGTGCACTGCGCCAAGTCCAGTTTTTCTTAGCTTCCTTAAGAGATAACAGATAAAACTGAGTGATTCCAAAGTCAAAAGAAATATCAGTCATAGACCAAAGGAAGCCAGCCAGAGGATGCAAATCCAATTAATATTGAGCTTATAAAATAGGGTTTACTATACTGTTAGGTCTCCTCCACTGAAACAGCCTGGCAGAGCAGAGTTTTATTCTACAGACTGCTCTTTAAGCCAAGCCATGTTTTAAATTAATATATCAGATCATTTATACCTTGTTACTGGCTCACTGAGGAGTAATAAATGCAACTATTACACCTCATCCCTATTCATAGTCTTGCACACAGATGAACTTCGCACTTTATACTGACGGGCAGTGCAGTCCAGAGGAAAAGAAAAAAGGTAAAGAATCCTGTACATTTCCAGATATTATTGTATGCATGGAGGATTTCTGGTACTGTTGTCTGAAGCAGGAGAAAGACTGGTTTATCAAGAAGCAAGCATTTTACAAAGACTATTATGGAAATGACTGAATAATTCTGCACAATCAAGCCAGACGTTAATTATTCTACAATTTCCTATTACACTCATCATAAGAAGCTGCAGGCTAGGAATCCAACCTCGAAGAAACCCGCATACTGGTATCTGCATGCACTCACTGTGAAGGAGGGAAGGAATGACATATTGGGGTTCCTCAAGCTATCTGCAAGTCGTCCATCTTCCCTAGCTGTCAGGCCTTGGGGAAAAAGTAGAATTTGGATTTATTGCTTGTCTTGAGTCAAGACTCCAGCTCTCACCCCTTGCAAAGCAGAGAAAAAAACCTCACTGGCTCAAAGAATTTACCGTGAGCCTTTTCACATTTCTAGATTGCACCCAACATCTCTGCTTTGTGGTAGAAAAGATCTCTTCCCAATGCCAGGAAGCTCTGACTTGCTCCTCCTGCAGCCCTGCTTTACGCATAGGAAGGGTCTGCGCACGGGAGCCTGCCACTCTCTTGGCTCCTATGCTCGGGACCAAGCGCTGCAGATCTGTGCTACAAAGCCGCAGAGCAAGGTTGAAAGAGCTGGCAGCTTCACCAGGTC